TTGACATAAATCACAGCAAGATCTTTTTTGATCCACCTCCTAGAGTAATGGAAATAAAAACAAAAATAAACAAATGGGACCTAATGAAACTTAAAAGCTTTTGCACAGCAAAGGAAAACATAAACAAGACAAAAAGACAACCCTCAGAATGAGAGAAAATATTCACAACCGAATCAATGGACAAGGGATTAATCTCCAAAATATATAAACAGCTCATGCAGCTCAGTATTAAAGAAACAAACAACCCAATCCTAAAATGGGCAGAAGACCTAAACAGACATTTCTCCAAAGAAGACATACAGATGGCCAAGAAGCACATGAAAAGCTGCTCAACATCACTAATTATTAGAGAAATGCAAATCAAAACTACAATGAGGTATCACCTCACACCAGTTAGAATGGGCATCATCAGAAAATCTAAAAACAACAAATGCTGCAGAGGGTGTGGAGAAAAGGGAACCCTCTTGCACTGTTGGTGGGAATGTAAATTGATATAGCCACTGTGGAGAACAGTATGGAGGTTCCTTTAAAAAACTAAAAATAGAATTACCATATGATCCAGCAATCCCACTACTGGGCATATACCCAGAGAAAACCATAATTCAAAAAGGCACATGCACCCTAGTGTTCATTGCAGCACTATTTACAATAGCCAGGTCATGGAAGCAACCGAAATGCCTCTCGACAGATGAATGGATAAAGAAGTTGTGGTACATATATACAGTGGAATATTACTCAGCCATAAAAAGGAATGAAATTGGGTCATTTGTAGAGATGTGGATGGATCTAGAGACTGTCATACAGAGTGAAGTAAGTCAGAAAGAGAAAAACAAATATCGTATATTAATGCATATATGTGGAACCTAGAAAAGTGGTACAGATGAACTGGTTTGCAGGGCAGAAATAGAGACACAGATGTAGAAAACAAACATATGGACACCAAGGGGGGGAAAGTGGCGGGGGTGGAGGGTGGTGGTGGGATGAATTGGGAGATTGGGATTGACATGTATACACTAATATGTATAAAACAGATAACTAATAAGAACCTGCAGTGTAAAAAATAAAATACAAAGAAAAATGAGGCATATTTATACAGACTGACTTAGAAAGATATATGATCAAAGGAACAAGAAAGGTACACACCTCTTTCATTATGGACATAGAGTTTTTAAAAATGCTTTAAATAGAATTTAAATACCATAAAATGTACCCTGTAAAGTGTACAATTCAGTGGTTTAATTACACAACATTTCCATCACCTTAAGAAGAAACCCCCTACCCCTGACATCGAGGTTTTTAGTCTTTTGCTAAAACCAATCATGCTGCACTGGATATTCTTATACACATATCATTTCACACATGTAGAAGAATATCTGCGGGACGAGTACCTGGAAATATTTGCTAGGTGAAGTGATTTGTGCCCTTAAAACTTTGAAAGCGACTGCTAAACTGCCCTCTCCAGAGGTCACGTGAGTTTACACTCTCACTACCAGGGTATAAAAGTCCCTATTTCCCATTTCCTGACTAGCATAGTCCTTAACCAAACTTTTTTATCTTTGCCAATCTGACAAATAATAGTATCTCATTGTAACTTTAATTTCATTTCTCTTATTCTAAGTGAGGGTGATTACTTTTACATGTTTAGGAGCTACTTGTCTTTCCTTTTTTTATGAACTGATTTTTCATACCCTTTGATTTTCTGCAGGGTAGCTGACTTTTTAAAAATAGGAATTATGTATTAAGGAGAAAAGCTGTTTGTGATATGAATTGAAAGTATTTTCCCGTCGTATGTTTTTTGGGGGTTTTTTAGTCTTTGACTTTATTCATGTTTTTTTTTTCTTTTATCATGCAGAATTTAAAAATGTTTTGTCATCACATTTGGCAATCTTCTTTTATGACTTCTGCGTCTTGTGACATACTTAGCCTTTCCCTACTCCAAGATTATAAAAACAAAATTCTCCCATATGTTATTCTAGTACTTGAAGCTCTCCTCCTCCCTCCCATTTAACTCTTAGATCCACCTGGAATTTATTTTTGTGTAAGATGTGAGGTACGGCTCCACCTTCTTTTCTCTAGAAGGCTAACATCTTTCCCCCACTGATTGGAAATGTCACTTTCATAGTGCCTCTTGACTAAGAATAGTAAGAGCCATTTTAAATATTAGATTTAACTTTTTGAGAGTGGTAGTCAGGTGTCTGGGGCAGTGATTTCTGATCTCTTGGGGTGCCTATGAGGATTCTGTAAGAACTGCAATCCCCTTCTCTCCCTGACAAATTCTACTGCTGTAAACTGCTATTACTTAGGGGATGTGTCTTGCTCAAGTGTGCTGAACCAAGAAGTAGTTTTTAACCCCTTAGAGGGGGGACTTAACTTTCACACAGCCTTATAGGTTTCACCTGTGGCCAGAGGCCCATCTAGTGAATCCAGGGTTGTTACTTTAATGAGAAAAGAGCCTCAACAAGAGTCCAGAAGTAATGGGCGAATCTTTTCCAAAAAAACTAAGCTCTTCACTTTTGAGTCCGTTTCTGATCCTCAGGTCGTCTTCCCACTTTAGAATCGTAGTCAATTTCTACAGTTTTGCTTTGGTGGATTTGCTTTGGTGGGCTGTGTGTCCTCCTGGGAAAGGACTACTGGCTCGGGCTGTAACGGGACTGTGTTTTGGCACCCTGTAGAGCTGGGCATGTAGGGATAAGAGTCATCTCTTCTAATTTGAAACTGTTTATAGTCAGAAAAGAGTGCGGCCCTTTAAAAAGCAGAATTCTCGGGGTACCCCTGAGGATAAAGGCTCGTAGAGTTCTACCCAAGGAGGCCTGGAGGAGGAGATCTGTCTGTTAGGACTGATGCCCCCGAGTAGGGCGGATGTCCCCCAGGAGCGTTTCGTCAAGCATTTGAGCGGTCTGCTTGGTTTGCTGTGGGGGATGTGCAATGGCTTTTAATTTCATTCAGTATTGTAAAATTGTTCTTTTATTTGGGCTACTCAAGGAGTAGCTTGTCACTTTGAGCTTTGGGGTAACAAATGTTCTCTGTGCTTGAAAGTCCCAGTGGCAGTGACACCTCCTCGGAGGAGTGACTGACGCTGCCTCCCTCCCTCAGTGTGTGTTAACCCTTGGGCATCTCATCCACTGGAGGAGCTGGGTACAGGTGTAAAGCAGTGAGGGAAGTGGGAGAGGCATGAAAGTGTTCTGCTTTGGTGTAAGCTATTTTTCACGTACGTTTTTATTAATTAGTTTGTTCCAGAGACTGTTAGACACTTAAAAAAAATAAATTTACAAAGGATACAGTGGAACTCCATTTAAATGGTCACGTTGAAGTAAAGAAATAATATCCACTTTATAGGCTTAATTATACGTCATATTTGGCTAATTTAGTCCATGCGAGTGTGCTGTCTGGGAGATAAGCCCAGGATACGGTAATGAGCAACAGCTAGTGCAGTTCTACATATTAACTATCATGATTTAAGGGAAGCTCTTCACACTGATGTCTACATATCTACTTAATGATAGTTTTCCTCTTTCTCTTTCCTGTCCCTTTTCACTCCTCAAAGTCATATTAGTAGAGTCGTCCTCGCATGCCCCTGGGCACCTGGACATCTGAGGGCTAGATGCAGACTTCACTTAGCCTGCTGTGCCTTTCACAGTTTTGGCCATGGATGTTACCTTTTGACAGGCTTTCCCCACTCTGACCTCCTCCTGTCTCACCCATCACCTCTCCTCTCCACTGATGATCCACTCAAATGGATTGTAATCATCCGGATCATTCAGCAGCTGAACCAATTCTCCCATCAACGGGAAGGTCCCACATGGGGGGATACTTACCCCTTCCAGACCCTTCCTGAAGAGAGCAAGTTTCCTTCCATGTGGCAGGAGTACATTTTATATTTGTTTGGCCTTGTGACTGATAGGATGGGAAGCTGAGGGGAAGTGGAGAGGAGATGGCAGTTTTAACGGAGAAAAAAAACTTAGTAGAAACTCTGCCTCTGCCTTCTTCGGGCGTGTCCCTCTTCTGGGCATCTCTTCAGGATTTCATTCCTCCGTCCAACTGCCGTTCACAACTGCCCTTTCCAACGGCTCCAGAACTCTTGGCCTTGGCATTCCGTGATGTAAATTATTCCACTGCATGGCTCGAAATGGGTGCGAAGCAGTGTTGCCAGGTGTCGGATCACTAGTGTAAGTTTGCTGGATCTCGGGGGGAGGGAGGAGAAAGAAAGGGGGAGAGCTGCTCTTGGAATTTATACAGTTGTTATTGTTTCAGCCAGAGCACAGTGATTGCGCTGGTTAGGCTGGATGCTGTCGATGGCTGGGGAGAGAGAGAGATTTGGGCTTGGAGCTGGGGTGAATTTGGGGTTGAGGGTTTCTACTTTAAAGATTCCAGTGTTGGGATGCAGACTGTTTGGAATTGAACAGTTGGCGTTACTGCTGCAGAGGGAGGAACTTGGGACCTTCAGGGCAGAGCCTGTTGCAGTACTGCCTGGGGCGATGGTGCCTCTTCTGTCTCAAAAAGTAGGGACAACTGACTTTTCTGTTTTCCTAAAGATAGCCAGAATATGGCTAGAAATCCAGATTGCTCACCAGGTTTGGAAATATCCAGTCGCAAAATTCAAAGACCTCTGTATGCATGAGATTTTTTTCTAAAACAAAAATACGATTTCTCCTCTTGTTCACTGTGTACATTTTGAGGAAGTTACTGTTCATGGTTTACCGCCCCTTTGAGGAATCTGTGTGTGAGTGGTTGCTGCCAACTCTCCTTGATTTGTCTAGATTGCTTTTTGACTTGTAAGTTAAGGATTTGTGTTCAATAAAAACAATGTAAATTGAATACTTCATCTCTTGAATGACCACAAAAATTTAAAAGTCACATTCATAATAAGCAATTAGAGGGAAAACTCACATGAATTAGTTATTTATCTAGGAAAGTATAAGGTATATTTTTGTGTTGCATTGATGCTACTGGCTTTATTCTGCTTTGCTGAAACAGTGCTTTCTTATTCCTTTTCTTTATAGTTGTCATGGATGATGATGATGACTCGTGTCTCCTTGATCTTATTGGGTAAGATGCTCATTCCAAAATAAGGGTAAATCAAATGTGTGAGGTTTGCTGTACTAAAACAACCTAATAAGCATATTAAAACCAAGTGGGTTTTTAAAATAAAGATTAAATAATCATCATAGATATAGAAGGGAGACAAAGTGACATGGATTAACATAGGGGTCATAATTAGGTAATCCTTTATTAAATTTATTTTATAAAAAATCCTAGGAGGCAGAAATGAGTGATGATAGGAAATGGAACATCAAAATGAAACAAAACAAAACCAACAAAAAAAACTACTAATAGTTTTAAAACAGGGAGAGGATTTTACTCAAACTAATACATCATTTTCTTTTTCCCCTGTAAAAATGAACCCTAAATATAAGTAATGTATTTATTTGCTGTTTTCTCTTTTTGGCTGTTGTTTTCTAGAGACCCACAGGCATTGAACTATTTTCTACATGGACCTAGTAATAAATCGGTAAGTAATACTCAGACCATCGTAGGCATACATTTTGTTTCTTCCTGAGAGTCAAAGTGATCACTTTTTTGAATTTGTACTTTTGCAGAGCAATGAGGACTTGACTAATGCAGGATATTCTGCAGCCAATTCAAATTCAATTTTCGCCAACTCTAGTGTGAGTATTGGAAACTGAATGCAATGATCAAATGTTTGTCTCATTGATGCCTAGTGAATTGAAGCTTTAATTGCCTTTGTATCATAATGGGAATCCCTACTTTGTCTTTTGTAATTGACACAAGAGGAAAATCTATTGAATTTTGTTGACATTTTCTACTTTTAACTTAGTCTATTAAGATTTTTACTTTGCCATTTTCCTAAAGTTTCAACTTTCTTTCTAAAATGCCTCAGAAACGTTATAGCCTGAGAAACTTATATTAGAGTCTTTTGAATGTTGTTACATAAGCTTTAAAAAAATCATTCTGTATTGTGGTTACTTTCTAATCATTTTCATCTTAAACAAGGAGAAAGATCATAGTAGCTGACACCTACTGAGCGCTCGGTATGTTCTTGGCACTCAGAGCTTAACGCATATTAACCTCGTTAACCTTACAATAATTCCGTGAAGTAGGTTCTATCATTATCCATTTTTAAAGATGAGAGAACTAAAGGTTGGTATTTACCCAGTATTACACAGCCAGGAGTCGCAAGCTAGGAATCGAACCCAGGCCACCAGGTTCCAGGGCGCAGGTTCTTAAGCTCTAGGAACATCTAGACAAGAAATCTGACCTGAGGGCAGGGAAGTCCTGCCTGGAAACTATATCCGGATTGTTGTGTTTAAGCCTATGTTACTTTAATCTTTTCAACTGCTTTGTTCTGCCATGGATGGGAGTCCAGAGTCCGACCACCCAAGTTTGAATCCTTGCTCTGCCACTTACTAGCTTTATAACCTTGCATCTATCACTAAATCTCTAAGACTCAGTTTCCTTATTTGTGAATCCAGGAGAATGATAAATCTACCTCATAGGGTGGTTAAGATGAATGGACTAGTCCATGGAAATCAGTTGACACAGTGCTCAGTTAATGTCAACTTATCGTCATCGTCAGGGTCTTTATTTTCTTCATCCATAAAATGGAATAGTATTCAGAAAGTCCTTGGGAATGCACAATTCTTTAAAGTATTTGAGTATGTGTAAAGTATGTCAGATCATAACATGCAAGACTCCTCCACATGCTAGGGGTGGCTTTAAAGTCACAGCACTGATTTCCTGTAAGGCTTATGAATTAGTAGCAATGCTGAAATTCATTCTGCGTGGGCAATAACTGCATGTGATGCCATTAAACCCATAAAGTAGATACTGAGCCTGTTTGCCAACACTAATGATTTTTACTTACCAGCTCTCCCACTTCCACGTAAGTATTAATTCTAACTCTTCAGGCTGCTTCATTCAGGGTGTATTTATTGTAAACTTGAGTTGCATCATGTCAGTAAAACATTTTAAAAGCTTTTAAAAATATGGAATTTTAAACCTGTGGTCTGTTAATTTGTGCATTGTAAAAACATTAAACTGTGTACCACCACTCAGGAGATAATCCACTGTTGCCTTGATATTTCTCTGCAAAAACAAACAAACCTCCTTGCTTTCAGTTGCTTTTTCCCACTTCCTTTCAAATGACTGTTCAAGTCCTAAGGTGGTGTCCACCTAACTGAAGCCACATTAGTCCCGTTTCAACTGTTGATTGGGTGTCAAGTGAACTAGTCTTGGCTTTTCTACCTGGGTCTTCCCATCATCTAGCCCCCAACACACCTTATTAACCTAGGGCTGAGAATCTGTATAGTTTTGAAAGTTGGACTCTTCATTCTTTTTTTTTTTTTTTTTTTTTGGCTGCGCCATGCAGCTTGTGGGATCTTAGTTCCCCAACCAGGGATTGAACCCAGGCCCTGGCAGCTAAAGCGCCAAGTTCTTACCACTGGACCCCCAAGAATTCCCTGGACTGTTTTCTTTTTTTTTTTTTTTTTAATTTTTATTTATTTATTACTTTTGGCTGCGTTGGGTCTTTGTTGCTGCTCACGGGCTTTCTCTAGTTGCGGCAAGTGGGGGCTACTCTTCGTTGCGGTGCACGGGCTTCTCGTTGCGGCGGCTTCTCTTTTCGCGGAGCACGAGCTCTAGGTGCGTGGGCTTCAGTAGTTGCGGCGCGTGGGCTCAGTGGTTGTGGCGCACGGGCTTAGTTGCTCTGCGGCATGTGGGATCTTCCCAGACCAGGGATCAAACCTGTGTGCCCTGCATTGGCAGGCAGATTCTTAACCACTGCACCACCAGGGAAGTCCTGGACTGTTTATACTTGATTGATCTATTTTTGATTTTTTTCTTCATCTTTTTAAAATTTTTAATTGTGTTAAAAATATATATAACAACAAATGTACCATCTTAACCATTTTAAGTGTACAGTTCAGTAGTGTTAAGGATATTCACATTGTCTTCACCTTATGTTAAATAACGACTGATTCCATTTTTTTTTTCTTTTATAATTTTGACGTATCCCATGATAAACTGCTGGCCAGCATCGTGTCTCTTATTTGTCAGTGACTGTGTTCAGTTCCCTTCATTTGCCTGTGTTGTTGTCTCTAGTTGGAATGCGCAGTCCTTAAGGACTCGTTACGGACAGACACAAACGCAGAAGTGAGCGCTTGACAAATGTTGACCAACTTTTACTCTTGAATAGGACATTGAAATGGTTTTTAAAGCATCATAATAAGCTGATAACTTCTAAGAAATCAAATAACTATTCACTCATTTCATATGGGAAGCTTGTTTTTATCCAGGCCGATTTTGCCTGGAGTGGGGCAGGTTAGAACTAGGGGAGTTCCGAGAAACATTTAAAGTCAAGCCTGGATCTGGGATACCTTCTGGACCTCTAGTAGAACCACACTCGGAACTCTCAAAACTCACATCTACTCCTGTGGTACAAAAAACTAGACACCGCTGTGTCCTGGATACGCACATACCCTAGGCTGAGTCCCACTCAAGCTTTGGACTTGGGAGCAATCCTGAAAAAAATTAAGCCATGCCACTATCTAAAAAATAAAGCTAAACTCCAGGTAGCCATGAGTATGTTGGCATTATTGATGTGTTTCCTATAATAATTTTATCAGAGCAGTGAATGCATATACTTACAAAAACAACATTAAACATCATTCCTAAGGAAATCAAGTATCAGAATAAGGTGAGCAGGGCTTCCCTGGTGGCGCAGTGGTTGAGAATCCGCCTGCCAATGCAGGGGACACAGGTTCGGGCCCTGGTCCGGGAGGATCCCACATGCCGCAGGGCAGCTGGGCCCACGAGCCGCAGCTGCGGAGCCTGTGCGTCTGGAGCCTGTGCTCCGCGACGAGAGAGGCCGCGGCAGTGAGAGGCCCGCGCACAGCGATGAGGAGTGGCCCCCGCTTGCTGCAACTAGAGAAAGCCCGTGCGCAGCAACAAAGACCCAACGCAGCCAAAAGTAATAAATAAATAAAAATAAATTTATTTTAAAAAAAGAGAATGAGGTGAGCAGTTTGGAGAGTTGTGCCTGAAAAGCAGACTGTTATGCTTTATTCATATTCAAAAGTGAGATGAGATTTTTGTTTAAGAATCTCTTTCCAAGGTTAGATATGCCATGTAACATCCTGCTTATTTTTTTAGAATGCTGATCCTAAGTCATCCCTCAAAGCTGTAAGCAGCCAGCTTGGAGAAGGGCCCAGTGATGGACTGCCACTTTCAAGTAGCCTTCAGTTTCTTGAAGATGAACTTGAGTCTTCTCCTCTTCCTGATCTCAGTGAGGACCAACCTTTCGACATTCTTCAGAAATCCTTGCAGGAGGCCAATATCACTGAACAGACATTGGCAGAAGAGGCATATCTGGACGCCAGTATAGGTTCAAGCCAACAGTTTGCACAAGCTCAGCTTCATCCCTCTTCATCAGCATCCTTTACTCAGGCTTCTAATATTTCTAATTACTCAGGTCAGACGCTGCAGCCTATAGGGGTGACTCATGTGCCTGTTGGCACATCGTTTGCAAGCAATACAGTGGGTGTGCACCATGGCTTTATGCACCACGTGGGGATCAGTGTGCCCAGCCAGCATTTGTCTAATAACAGTCAGATTAGTGGTTCTGGTCAAATACAGTTAATTGGGTCATTTGGTAGTCAACCTTCCATGATGACTATTAATAACCTAGATGGATCTCAAATCATATTAAAGGGTAGTGGGCAACAAGCCCCATCAGATGTGAGTGGAGGGCTTCTGGTCCACAGACAGACTCCTAATGGCAGCTCCTTGTTTGGGAGCTCCAGTTCCAGCCCAGCAGCACAGCCTGTTACCGTTCCATTTAATAGCACAAATTTCCAAACATCTTTACCTGTGCATAACATCATCATACAAAGGGGTCTTGCACCAAATTCAAATAAAGTCCCAATTAATATCCAGCCAAAGCCTATCCAAATGGGTCAGCAAAACACATACAATGTGAACAATTTGGGAATACAGCAGCACCATGTTCAGCCAGGGATCTCGTTCGCCTCTGCGAGCTCACCCCAGGGCTCAGTGGTTGGTCCGCACATGTCGGTGAACATTGTAAACCAACAGAACACAAGGAAGCCAGTCACCTCGCAGGCCGTGAGCAGCGCTGGGGGCAGTATCGTTATTCATTCTCCCATGGGCCAGCCTCACACACCCCAGAGTCAGTTCCTCATACCTACAAGCCTTTCCGTCAGTTCCAACTCGGTACACCACGTCCAGACCATAAATGGGCAACTTCTTCAGACTCAACCCTCTCAGCTCATTTCTGGCCAAGTGACCTCAGAGCATGTCATGTTGAACAGAAACTCTTCCAGCATGCTCAGGACCAACCAACCATATTCTGGACAGATGCTGAACAACCAGAATACTGCCGTCCAGTTAGTGTCTGGGCAGACGTTCGCCGCCTCTGGAAGTCCAGTGATAGTCAATCATGCCTCTCCTCAGATCGTTGGTGGGCAGATGCCCTTGCAGCAGGCATCGCCAACCGTCTTGCACCTGTCCCCTGGGCAGAGCAGCGTCTCCCAAGGAAGACCTGGCTTCGCCGCCATGCCCTCGGTGACAAGCATGTCAGGACCTAGTCGGTTCCCTGTTGTCAGCTCATCCAGCACTGCCCATCCTAGTCTTGGGGCTGCGGTTCAGTCTGGTGCATCAGGATCAAACTTTACGGGAGATCAGCTGACCCAGCCAAACAGGACTCCAGTACCGGTCAGTGTGTCTCATCGTCTTCCAGTTCCTTCTTCCAAATCTACTAGCACCTTCAATAACACACCTGGAGCAGGAAGCCAGCAACAGTTCTTCTGTCAGGTAATATTATCAAACAAATGATAATATCAAACAAATGTTTGGTTGATTACGGAATGGAAGAGTGGAATGAGTATCTGATAGAATATAATTTTCATCCTAGGCTCCCAATTTATTATCTTAAGATGTTCAACGTACTATTGATTGCCTTTTTTCTTCTTAACTAAAATGTTTTATCCAGGATAGTGTTGTGGTCTAGAGTGGAGACTCATGGATTTGAATCTAAGCTTAATGACGTGGAGCAAGTCTTACCTTAACTAACCTCTCTAGAGGTTAAGTTTTTTCATCAGTAAAGTGGACATAGTAATACTACTATCCCATGGAATTATTGGGAGAATTAAATGAGATAATCTATATAAAGCACTTAGCAAAGTCCCTGGCAAATGACAAATACTTAATAAGAGCCAATATTAAGACATATACTTGATGGAATGTATTATAGGCATTTAAAAGGAAAGCTTGTTTTGGATGGACTGGGTAGGAAGTCGCAGCTGTTTCTTGGGTGCCAACTGGAAAGGCTCCGGGACTCAGTGAGACTCAGCAGTGGGTAACTGGCCTGCACAGAGGGATGCATATGGAGGGAGGGATCCAGGGCAATGGATTTGACCAAGTACCTGAGCCTACTCTTACCAGAGCATTGTGCCGGTAAATGACTGCGGGCAATCTGTTAAGGATTATGTTTCTGAAAAGCATTTCAAAGGGTCATCAGCTTTGGTCCTTCACCCCATCTGCCGATCTTTGAACTTCTCTGGCTTTTGGTTCTCACTCATTCTTAGCATGTTCTGTAGTTCCAGCTCCATACCCAATTCCCCACCAACCACCTGCCCGTGGTCTACCCTCCTTACTCCTCCATTTGCCCTGCCTTTCTTCTCCACATTTAGAAGAATTCAGAAACTTCTCTCTACCATGTATATCAATATTTTTAAAACTGTATACCTTTGACTTAGTAATTCCACTAAGAATCCTAAGGAAACAAAGATTATTTATGATCAAGGCTGTTCATTGTATTACTTTTGGTGTTAAAGGTGTGTGTGTGTCTTTGTGTTTTGAAATAACGTCAGGCTTATAGAAAAGTTAAAGTTTCAAGACTAGTGTAAAGAATTCTCATATATCCTTCACCAAGATTCCCCAGATGTTAACTTTTTACCCCATTTGTTTTATCCTTCTCTCTCTCTTTCACACACACACACACATACACACACAAACACACACACACACATAGTTTTGAGAGTAAATTGCAGGCATGATGCCTCTTGACCCCTACATACTTCAGACTTCAGTGTATATCTCTTAAGAACAGGGACATTCCCCTACATAACCGCAGTACAGTCATCAAAACCAAGAAAAACAGCATTATTACAGTATTATCATCTAATCTACAGACCTTATTCTGATTTAGTCCATTTTCCCAATAATGTCCCTTATAGCAAGAGAGAATAAATTATATTTTGTTTTGTTTTTATGGTCTAGGATCCAACCCAGGATCACTGCCTAATTCTGTTGTCATGTCTTTAAATTGGAAACAGGTTTTTTTTTCTTTCTTTCTTTTTTTTAATTTTTGGCCACACCGCGCAGCATGCAGGATCTTATTTCCCCAACTAGGGATCGAACCCACGCCCCCTGCAGTGGAAGCGTGGAGTCTTAACCACTGGACCACCAGGGAAGTCCTGGAAACAGTTTCTTCATCTTGCTGTCTTTCATGACCTTGATTATTTATTTATTTATTTATTTATTTTGGCTGTGTTGGGTCTTCGTTGCTGCGCGCAGGCTTTCTCTAGTTGCAGCAAGTGGGGGCTACTCTTCATTGCGGTGCACAGGCTTCTCACTACAGTGGCTTCTCTTGCTGCGGAGCACAGGCTCTAGGCACGTGAGCTTCAGTAGTTGTGGCATGTGGGCTCAGTAGTTGTGGCTCTCGGGCTCTAGAGCACAGGCTCAGTAGTTGTGGCACACAGGTTTAGTTGCTCCATGGCATGTGGGATCTTCCCGGACCAGGGCTCAAACCCGTGACCCCTGCCTTGGCAGGCAGATTCTTAAGCACTGTACCACCAGGGAAGCCCGACCTTGATTTTTTTTGAAGAGTCAAACCAACTTTTTTGTGGAGTGTCCCTCAATTTGGGTTTCTCTGTTGTCTCCTCATGATTAGATTCAGGTTATACATTTTTGGTAGGATTGCCACAGAGGTGATGGATGTGTCCTCACGATGTGAACTTGTCGCATTCCTGGTGATGTTAACTTTGAACACTTGCTTAAGATGGTGTCTGCTTCATGTGGTGTCTGATGCATAGTTAATAAGTTTCTTCGGGGAGTTACATTGAGATTATGTAGATATCCAATTTCTTGTCAAACTTGAACACACTAGTTTAAGCTTTCATTGATAATTCCTGACTGAATCAGTTATTACTAAATCAGCTGTTACTGTGACAGTCACCAAATAGAGACTTTCTAATTCCATTGTTTATTCTACATTAATTGTTGGCATTCTACTCTAAGGAAGAGTTTTTCTGTCTCCCCCTTTTACTTATGCCAGTATGGACACATAGATTCTTATTTTATTTAATGTGTTAAAAATTGTTACAATCATTTATTTTGATGCTCAAATTGCTTTGATGCCATTGGGCACCCCTCCATATTGGCTGCTGGTCCTTCTGACATGTTTCCATCGTGCTTTGAGCACTTCCTTTAATTTCTGGCAAAACATGATGTTCCACGTTCGTCTTTCACTTTCCCTGCCCCTGCCCTGGAATCAACCACTTGAGGGACCTTGTTCCTTCTAGTGGAGAACAATATTTAGAAGCAAGATCTGAGCACTACATATTCATTGCTACTGAGGTTGTCTCAGCTGGGACTTGTATGTATTTACACATACTCAACATCTATAGCTGTCCATCTATCTATATTAAAAACCATGGGTTCATACTGATACTTTCAATTCTAATCCAGTACCACCAGGTTCATTATTCAAGTCTCCTTTTCCATATTTGTAGCTCTCTTTTCTAACAGTGAGAAAGCCTGCCCCACAATATATTTGCTTATTTGCCCAATCCTAGAAAACAAAGAAAATAGTTTTAGAATTGCTAATTCATAGCACTGTGAAAAACAAACGTACTTCAGACTCCAGTATTGGTTTACATTCTGTCTTCAACCTAAAGGTGTATAGTCAAAATACTGTGTTCAACACCTGAAAATACCACAACATTATAAATCAACTATACTCCAATAAAAATTTTTTTAAAAATACTGTATTCAAAAGTTACTAGAGTTAGTACTTTTTTTTTCCTCCCTTGGTATGGTTATGCTATTCTTTTGAACTATACTTTTGCTTGTTTCTGTTTGTGTTTCATTTTAGAATTCTTTTCCCACTACCCTTGTTGATTTTATCTATTTAATTTCTTTTGAATGAGTGAACCATTAGCATGGTCCCAAAAGTCAGGGCTATGCAGAAAGTGTGCCGGGCAGTCTCCCTCCTCCCTGGCCTTTCTCCCTGCTCCCACCCCTCCCTCCATCCCTTCCTGCCAGTTCTCATCCATCCCCTATTTTCAGCAATATCATTAGTTTCTCCTTTTTTTTTTTTTTTTTTTTGCGGTTTGCGGGCCTTTCACTGTCGTGGCCTCTCCCATTGCGGAGCATAGGCTCCGGACGCGCAGGCTCAGCGGCCATGGCTCACGGGCCCAGCTGCTCCGCGGCATGTGGGATCTTCCCGGACCGGGGCACGAACCCGTGTCCCCTGCATCGGCAGGCGGACTCTCAACCACTGAGCCACCAGGGAAGCCCGAGTTTCTCCTTTATTTATCCTCTGTTTTTTTTCACACAGATAAGCAGATACATGTATATTTTCTTATTTCCTTACATATATATTTTCTTATTTCCCCTCCTTTCTTACTCAAATATAGCATACTATAGATAGATATTCTTCTATACTTTGGGTGCAAAAAAGTGTTCTAAACCCAATATAATAATTCTCCAATAGTAGGAGGATTATTGGATATAATGAAGTATTATGGAGCCATTTTAAATGTTTCTGAAAAATAATTAAAGATTTGGGGGAAGGCTTACAAAGTCATTTTAAGTGACATTTTAAATGTGAAATATTTAAAATGCACATTTAACTGTAAAATATTTAATAAGCAATTTGTTTTCTCTTTTAGAAAAATGTTAAAAGACAATATGGTGAACTAGAAAATAGAAAACCCTCTTGCTTACAAAACAACCAGAAACTTGATTAGGAGGAAATGTACTGCTCCCTTAACAGCAGTTCTCTGGGTGGTGGAATTACAGATACTCTTGTTTTCTTCTAGTTTTAAAAACTTACCCCAGGTAGAGGAGGTGATACCTGGACAGCATTTATCAACATAGTGATGCATTTTTCAAAAATAAGTAAAACATGCCATTGGTAATCACTAGAAACAGTTCCAAAATAGTTCAGAATGAAAAGTAAGCCTTCCTCTTCCAGAGGCCACCACTGTTTCTAGGTTCTTTCTCTTGCCCCAGATATGTCCTCTGCATATACAGCACAAACGTCACATATATACTTATCTCTGCAACACACCATACCTGTTTTTACTTAATTATAGAACTTGAGGATTACTTTATATCTATATATATTGATCTGCTTTATGTTTATTTTAATCAATTATACATAATCAGCCACAGCATGGTCATTTCCTTTCTTTTTCCTTTTTTTTTTTTTTCAATGAGGGGGAAAAAAAAAATCTGTCTTTCTGACTCCCCAAAGTTTCAACTATCCAAGGTAACAAGAAGCCTACACTGGCAGCTCCAAAGTAGTTTTTGTGACTTTGAATGCCAAAGAGTATTGGGAACTAGATCAGTTGCATTATGTCCTGTGTGTTCTGCTGCAGGTTTTCCAGAACAGTTAAAGCATCAGGTGTTTTGGAGTAAGGAAGACACAGCCTTGGAGGCAACACAAGTTGGAAAAATAGTGTTGAGGTGTCATCTAACATTTAAACTCCTAGGACATCCAGAGACATTTGCAGTGACTCTTTTTA